CTTGACTATGGGAAAGCATGTGATAGTGTGAAGAGGAGAACATTATGAACTCTTCTTCAACGCTATGGTGTAACTGAGAAGATTTTAAACATCATGCAGAATTCATACGACGGACTACAGCGTAAAGTCGTGCATGGACGAAAATTGATAGATGCATTCCAAGTGATGATCTGTGCCATACAAGGCTGCTAACTCCCACTTTTTGTCTTTTTTTATGCTGGTTGACTGGATTATGAAGACCTCGACATCTGACTGGAAGCACGAAATAAAATGAATAGCTTGGATGCAACTAGACGAGTTGGACCTAGCTCTTCTATCCCATACACACTAACAAATACAGCTGAAGACAACTAGTGCAGCAGTAGCCTTTGCATCAATAGGCTTCAACATACACACAAAACCAAGCAACACGGACAGAACTAACTAAATCACTTTTGATGGAGAAGCGTTGAACGAAGTGGTAGTTTTGTGTATCTGGGCAGCATCACCGATGAGTAAGCACGATCCTATACAAACGTAAAGGCGGGGATTGGCAAAGTAAGGACAGCATTCTTACGGTTGAAGAACATACGGAACTCAAAACAACTGTCGACCAATTCCAAAGTGAGAATCCTCAATACGAACGTCATGATAGTTGTACTGTACGAAACTGAAACATGAAAAACTACTACAACCATCATCAAAACTTATAAATATTTATAAACAGTTGTTTATACAAGTTATTCAATGTTCGATGACCGGATATCATCAGCAATAAACCAACTTCCATCTAAAGAGGAAATTAGGAAAAGACGTTGGAAGTCGATAGGGCACACATTGAGGAAATCACCAAATAGCATCACGAGGCAAGCTTTAACTTGTAATCCTGAAGGGAAACGGAGAACAGGTAGGCCAAAGAACACACTTTATCAGGATTTGGAAGGCGACATGAAAAGAATGAATAGCAACGGAAAAGACCTGGAAAGGATTATCTAGGACAGAGTTGGATGAAGAATACTAGTGGTCAGTCTATGCTCCTCAACAAGGAGTAACAGGCGTAGATAAGTAAGTAATTATCCTATATATATGATGCTTATCTGTTAAAAAATTTTAGCTTTGTAAAACCTACCAGTTATATCCTTTTTACATTCACACTAATTGATAAAGTAACTTTGGATAATCTAGAAATGAACCACAAACAAACAATGAAAATCTATTCAAAAAACTTACAGTCAAATGATCATTCTTTAAATGTTTCATTCATATTAAGCATTAACTAACTAACTAACGATTTAAATGGAAGACCAACTTATTCACTTTATTTTTCAATCATTTAAATATAAAGTAGAAAAAAACAAACAATTTAATTCGTTTCTAAGGTCATTTAACATCATACATTAGGATACTCTTATAAATATAAACTTATATCATTCTTGCAAAAAGTTTCTCTATTTAAAATGAACTCCAGTTTCTCTTTTTTCTCTTTTTTTCTTTTTTTTAAAAAAAAATTGACCTGAAAAATTATAATTACACTCGTAAAACTTTAATTTTTTTGTTTTTGGAGGAAAAAAAGAACGAATGTGATACAGAAAAAGGGGAAAAAACCTTGAATAAAATCTTTCATCAATAATTTTTTTTCTATTTTTTTTAACGAAGTAAAATAGTCATAGAAGAAAACTGTTTACTATTTCATTGAAAAACTTAATTGTATCATCTCTTATTTGTTAATGAAATACTTTAGCTGATAAAATAAACCCCTATTAGTTCTAATATATATATATATATATATATATATATATATATATATATATATATATATATATATATATATATATATATATATATATATATATATATATATATATATATATATATATATATATATATACTGTCGTGAAGGAGAACACAGGTGAGGACAACCGAATTATATTTAGCACAACATTACAGAGTTACTCGGTAAAATAGAACAACTATAATATAATACCTAATTTTCAAAATGTTCAATAATTGTCTCGAACTTCATTGTTCTTGCATTTCTATACTAATTGCTTTCTATTCACGTTCTTCGTTTCTTGATCTTTCCAATCTTCTGCTGCCAGACATTACATTCCTGACTCGCGTTATATACTACTTATGTTAATAAAAGTAGCATGCACTACACTCGTTCCCCTTTAAATAAGATGTCTTCGTAGTCTTTCTGATCGCTGTACAGCTGTCTTCTTTGGTGCTGTTCGTGAGTTACATTCATAATGATTTTGAAACTATCTCTGCAGTTGACTAGCATTTTCTCTCTACTGTTTGTTTTCTCTCCGGATCGTGTAAACCGAGCCACGTCTCTCCGTGATAATGTACGGTCCATCCTACTTTAGGATTAGCTTTCCCGCCCCGATCCCCGTTCTATGTTACTTTTCCATTCTCTACACTTTATTAGGTTCCCCACTGCAAAAGGTTTTCACGTTCTCCTCTGTTGTTGTGCCCTCTTTATATCTGATATTTGTTTATTTTCCACGTTCCTTACTGCCTCCCACCTCTCTTTTCTTAACCTTGTTGTCGTCCACTTCCGTTGTTGTGGCCAGGCTTTATTATGCATTGGTAGTCGTGGCTTTCATCTATTGATGACCAAGAAAGGTGACTTCTTGGTTGTTCCGTGTATGGAGGAACGATGCACCACAATATATACATATATATATATATATAAATATAAATATATATATATATATATATATATATATATATATATATGAGAAGAGAATAATTTTAAATTGAGAAATATAATATATTCTGAGATGATGGAGAAGATTTATAGCTCAGCTGGATGATTTTGATGGAGTTTATACTGATGATTTCATTCAGAAGAATGATGAAATCTCCACAACTAAACCATTCAGCTTAAAGAATAAAATTTCATTAAAAACAACACATTCTTGTCATGTTTTTTTTTAAATACGAAAAGTTTAATGAAAATATCATGAGAACAAAGAATTCATTACTTGTTAATTATAAATTAGAGGCCTATTTGAATATCTGGGCTATCTGTAGATATTTTAATAAATTAGTTGATTTTTGCTTGTTTTAATACATCATTATGTTTATTAATTGCACAACCGATTAAGATACGTTTATGAACAATGTTTACTGCTTTTTGCTATACAAAATGCATAAAAATGTCCAGTCAGAGACATTATGGTTGCTGGCAATATACAGTGAAAAGAATGTACATTATTTAAATATCAATTCCTGGATAGCTTACTTCTAGCTGGCGACCACTCAATATTTGTCGTCAGGATTGACCAAGAATTAAGAAACGGAAACTTGTTAAAATATTTTGTGCTGAGAATTCTATATTGTACCAAAAATATAATATTGAATAAATGTTAGGTTTGAAGCGGTTACGAGTTCACTTAGACTGCGAACGAAACAAAAACTTGTGACCAAAGACCAATAAACTAGCTAATCTATTGCGTCCCAGCCCCGCTAACTAGAGAGAGAAGTTGAAGTCCGAACGGCGAAGTATATTCCGCAAAATGCCAGAAAACGAGCGATAACAACGGACACAAATCTAAACGTATATATACAGCACAAAACCGTCCTTCGGGAGAAATAAAAAATAGCATACTAAAAGATACAACGGACCAATAGCATTTAAGATTCTCCCAAGTGGGAAATACGACATGAAGATGAAATGAGTACTTTTGACGTGAAAACAAAGAAATTCAAATTTTCTAGAAAAAATTACAAAATAAGGTTTTTTTCCAAGTGAGTTCTGGGGATCTAACTTTTCTGTCTAAAGATTGTAATAAGAATGTTAGTTCACTTCACTTTCAAAACATTATTCATATAATTAAAACTAGATATAATGTGTGTTGATTAAAGCGGTTTGTATAACTATCCAATATCAACGAGAATAAAAATGTCTCATTACCATAGATGGTTATGATAATTTTAATCGGTGAAAGGTATCAATATTTTATGATCAGGTTATGATCTATAACTTTGCAAACTGTATGAACTCATTTTTAAATTGTCTCAGAATTATGGTCATATTTATTTAATGTACCCTTAATAATGTAAATTTTAGTACAGTAATCCAAATTTATCATCTGAAATATCATAAGCAACATACGGTCAATTAGAAAAAACAGTTTAGTGAACAAGAACACCAGTGGGGAACAATCGAATATATTTAACACATAATTACAGGATTTGTTAATAAAATCTAACAATCATATAGTAAATGCTTAATTTGCAAAATGTCCATCAATTTCCTCATAATGACTCAGACTTCATTGTTCTTGCATTTTCATACAAATTGCATTCTGTTTACATTCTTTACTGTTTGATCTTCTTGTCTTTCTGCTGCCAGATCTGTTCACGACTAACATCATATACTACTTACGTCGAAATAAGTATCAAACACCACAACAGTACTATTCTGGTATGTACTACACGTATGACCAGATAAAAATAGTATATGTCAAGGACTGAATGTAGGATTCTAACTGACAGGAGAGGAATATAGTAAGAAGAGAAAGGAAAATAGAAAGCAATCAAAATAAGGATAAGAATGGAAGAAAGATAAGTTGGTAAGAAGCAATTTAAGGAAGATTGGCAAATGGTGTATTTAATGTATTGTGTGATTTTGAGTATTAGATGGTTTTCTACCAAATGCGTCCTTAATTACACAACTAGAATGTTAAGACGAAAAGTAACTCATTTGATTACTATTAAATTTTAAGGCATGGTACATCTGAACAACAAATCAACTTTGACAAAAATGGAACAATCATCCAGTTCTCACTAGTTTCCAGTAGTTTTCCAATTGATGTCAATCTTTGATAAAAAAACAATTTGGGATTCACCTTCGTCAAAATTTGATATCAGTGTTTTGATTTTCTAAATTTTTAATACTCAAGATTAAAATTAAGATTTATCTCCCAAACTTGGTTTGTTCTATTGTAGGTCATACCATATTATTATTACTAATATCATTATTTTGTTCTTCACTTCCAATAAATTTTTAGACTCAAAAAGGGACAAGCCAAATTTCAGACTGTGGTAAACATTATGAAGATCATAGTAAACAATTGTCTAGATATATGATGTATATTGGTAAGAAACTAATCAGCTGGTTTAGCCAAACAAGTACCAAAAATGAAGTTTTCAATCATAATGATATAAACGAAAATTCAATGAATTATCATTCCGATAACAAAATTTTATATGAAGATTCTATCAGTCAAATTGAACATGAAATGTACAATAGTAATAGTAATAATAAATCTACACTCCAATGGACATCAAATGGTGTAAATATTCAAATACCTACTATAGAACAAGAAACATGGAATCATTTGGAACGTACCAGTTGGTTACCTTATTTAGATACAGTTGATGATTATCTAAGAAAGGTAAATAAACAAATGTGTATAGATATATTGAATGAATTGTTGAACTGTCATTTGATTTTTAACAGTTGTACACTTGTATAAAGTATATATTTTTAACGATAAAAAGATGAAGTGGCTACTTTAAATTTTGTGTACTTTAAGAGGATAAATATTGACTGTACTTCAAAGTTACCAGTGACAGTTGGTCAAAAGATCTAAGGTTTCAAAATACAAAATAATATCATCTTAAGGATGGTAATCCATATTTTTTGGTATTTTTTCCCATATGATGACTAACAACCTAACGACTAATTTACTAAAATGTGCTTGGTGAAACTAGGCCCGGATAAATGTGGAGGGTTGGGCATGGTGTTGGCGACCCCATCACCTAGAAAACTAACTCGCTAAAAATCTTTAACCAAGAGAAACAATCCAGACTATTTAAACTCTGCCCTGAGAGTTAGATATTCATTTAGAAAAGTTATGACACGTCATGGTGAAAGCCGAGTTCCTTCGGAAGTCACGAGGACGATGCCCCTTCTGAAAACCAGAGCAACCATTAATTTAGGTACATGGAATGTTCCTAAAATGTAGAAGACCGGGAGAGTTATCTAAATTGCTGCAGAAATAAAAAAAATACAACCTTGAGGTGCTTGGAGTCAGTAAAACACATTAGACGCTTGATGAAACAATTTCTTGAACAAACATTCATTTAAGAGAATTCCGTAAGATTCTTATCAAAACGAATTCATTATTCATTCTCTATAGTAATAAAAATGGTTTATTATACTACAGGATTGTTGATTAAGCTGAAGGTAAAAAATAAAACCGCTATAAACTAAGAGACAAAAAAACACTTTCAGAGAAAACCAAGGTAATAAACGTTCCTTAAGGATTCATTATTTAATGAAATTAAACCAAACCAACCATACTTAATTAACGTATTGAATAGTTTCACTAGGAGAGTTCACCTTCACAAATGTTCACCTATCTTATGTATCATAAAAATTCTTAATAGTTTGTGACAGATCTACATGAAATCATGAGCGAAAGATCATCAAAATTTAATTATCTTAGGGTTTTCGTCACTGTTAATAAATATAGTTTAGTCTACCCAGTTGTACATATCAAACCGCTTATATCTGTTGAAGTAAATTACAGTTATGACAATCAACATACAAATATCAAGACATTCCTTACATGTCATCTAAGTTGATCAATCCTTTCTGTAATTTGTCAATCTTGTAACTATCTGATGAAATCTAAAAGTGTTTAATTTAACAACCATCAATCACTGTCAAAATCACATAACATGTGGTATTTTAAAACAACCAGTTACCTGAACAAATAATTTTCATCTCAATAGTTATGAGTTCGAATCATGGCACATCTACTTCTAATTCTTGGTATTCAGAAATAAATTTAGAACTTGAAATAAACTAGTTTGTTTATTGAGCTTTAAATAATTGAAATAATTTGTATGTAATGTACATAACACCAAGTGATTCATTGCATCATCCAAAAAGACTTATTTGTTTGTGCATACTTTTATCTAATGCTTGGCAAGATTTCATATTCACAGATATACAGAATAATCTATACGTTTGTTAAGTCATTAAGCTGACTAATACAAAACATATGTTGTATTCAGTTTACAATTGTAAATCCTGCTGCTACCTAATCATTAACCATAAAATAAACAAGATTCTAAGTAGAACTTTATTTGTTTAAAACACCCTATCAAATATCCGATTTCCTAATTGTTCAAGTGAAATGTTCTTTACTCAATTTTTTGTATAGACAAGAGATGATCTGGATACGAAAGTTATTGACTACTGGGCACCATATGATCAACTTTTAGCTAATCTTCTTACAAACCCATGGCTTGCACCAGCATATAGGGCATTAAATACATCATGGTTACAAGAGAGGCGTATATCATTCATGGATCGAACGTATTTCGGTTTAGTATCAAGTGATTTTTACTCGGAAGATGAAAACCAATCGTCCAACGATTTAACCGCTTTAAATGGTGCCAGAGAAACACATTCTTTAATGCTAGCAAATTTTATTGGTGTTCCACAACCTGCACATGCTCGTTTGGCTGGTACAAGAATTTGGAATAGGTAAGTCATTTGAAATAAGATCGTTATGTTTTTGCTAGCTAATTCATCCTCATATCTAAACAGACGTGTTTACCGATGGAAAATAAGTTGAAAGAAATCTAGAGGAGATCAAATCAAAATTTGACATCAGACTGTGATCTCAGCGATTAGTGGTCCGAGCAGAGTTGGCAAATGCAAACTATATTTTTCAGATAATCTATTGAGTTCGTTGGAAGTTCATGTAACCACATATCATTATAGCATAGCAAGGATGTAAATATAAATATTATGTAAAGGAACACTCTACAACACTGGTATTAAAATGAACGAAGGCTCAGGTAATGTATTATGTAAATTTACACACTGTGTTTGTAAAGTATGAAAACAACAAGTTAATTATACCATTTCCACGTCCTTCTGAACACATCAATCAAGTCTCTGACGTCCGATAATAGTGTCTTCAGTAAACTTCAGAAAACTGGGGATTAGCTATTAATTAATCACCTTGTAAGATTTGAAGGTGTCGATGTGATGTCCTGTATCCAAGAGATGTTTGGTAGTTGCTCTATTCTAATTGAAGGCTTTTTGGAACATGTCCGAAAAATCTCATATATGCCCACTTTTCGTTTAGGCAAACGTAGCTGCTGTGAAAGTTGAATGTACAGTTGACGGTACATGAATGAAATACTTGTCGACTTTTTATCGAGTTACTGAACACATTGTTTTAAACAGAATCACTTGTTCGGCTGCTGGAAGGTTCTGGTTAATACTTCGCTAAACATCCTACTGATTGTGCTTGTGCTTTCTTCAACTCCGAAGTTGAAATTGACATTTACTGATTTTCTATTGACTATTGGCGAATCCGTCTTGTTGTATTTAATCTCTTTGCATTTCAGTAGAGAGATATCCAATAGAGGTTAACAATCGCTTTAGTCTCTTAATCATTAATTATCTTAAACATTACAAAATGGAATAATATCACCAATATAATCAATAAGATTTTTACCCCTTCGAATTTCTGAGTTGAGGAGATTAAATTGGTAAATAGGTTAACATTGTCAACTAGCTGATATTTGTGCGCCTCGATCTTTGCTTTCATCTATAGGATTATCGTTAATGACCTATATACTTGTATTAAAACAAATTAATTAATAAAATACTATGATCATTTTACAAAATATAGATCAGTCTATGATTAAATTTATCAAGTATTTTTGTTATAAAAAAAAGGTGTTTCTTCCTAATAACAAGGTCAATAAAATAATCTCCTTTGTTCTACTAACTTTTATTAAGGTCTTTTTATTTCCGTTGTACTAAATGTATCGATATATCTCTATATATGTAAATACAAATATGGGGGTGTATTACAAGCAGTTGTATAGTGGATACTTCCATAATCAAGAATAAAAGAAATCAATAATTAGGTCTCCTTAATAATAAGCTGATGAAAAATAGTCATAAAGTTCATAGTGAGCTCTTTTATGAAAAATATTGAATAGTTTTATTTCATTTATTCAAGCAAACACTGAACCTTAGATTAAAGAAAATTTTCTCGGATTATATATTTCAGAAAACTATTGAAACTCATCTTCTAGTTAACTAGACTTGACTATTATCTCAAAATTATCTAGATCGGTGCGATCACTGAAAAGTTATAGATTTGTTAATGGTTATTATTGATATATCTGGTGAATAAACAAATTAAATAGGTGTACATACAACAGTTTGGTATGTTATTCATTGTCTTGAATCAATATTGAAATAATATGCGCATGAATACATTAAACTACATTGGTTTAAAGTGATTATCATTATTGTATCACACTGTGACAACATCACTTTACTGCATAATCATAGAGATACTCTAGATATGAATGTCGGAGATGTTCTTTTAAAAAGCTTTTGGATTATAATGAATCAAAATCAAACATCTGTCGAAACTGTCTTTTATGAATAATTTTGACTCACTAAATTGTTGGCTTTTTACCTTCAGCATCACATAAGCGAAAGAGCGTGCTAATTTGTTGTTATTATAAAGGAGTCTCGAATATTTCTGTCTTTGTGAGTTCTACAACAAAATGACTAAAATTAAAAATATTAACCAAATAGTACCAAGTCAGTGGCCTAAATGTTTGGCACTCCCTGGAGGTTCATAGGGTTTCGAGTTCGAGCCCTGTTAAGGTTTCATCCCAAAATGACACTGTTTACAGCTTTTCTCCATAATATTTTTAAGCAACAAAAATAAATGTCTAAGAAAGAATCTCGAATGAGTAAAAAACTAACGTATAGTTTAAATGTGGTCTGACATATATGTGTATCTGTCCAAGTTTCCAAGTATCATTTCTCTAGATTATAAGAGAAGTCGTTACCAACTGAAAAGGAAGAAACATTTAAAATAAGAATGGTAATTCAACTGGTTTACTTAACACCAGAAATATATAATGGATAATAAGGGTCAAAAACTGAAAATTACTGTATCGTACAAAACTAAACGCTTAAAAGTAAATTAGAAAGTTAATAAAATTTCGTCACTACTTCTAATTTTAGCTCGTATCAAACGAATAAAACAAATGAGTTCTAGTACGAAACAGTGAACAGTAGAATTCAACCGGGTCTGTTGTGAGATAGTAACTCACTGATGGCAATGGTGGATGTGTCGCTCAATTTCGTGGATTAATTGAACTTAGACATTAACATTGTTGAATGCCGGCTGTTTCAATGGTCTAGATGTTAAGCGCTCGAGCGTGAGACTGATACGTCCTGGGTTGGAATCTCATGAATTGGGTTAGTGGATAGACACTGCTGAGGAGTCCCATAATAGGACAAAACAGTCGTCCGTCGCTTCTAGGTTTTCCATAGTGGTCTAGCTTCAATTGACTCATGATCTCAAATATTAAAATTACTGTCATATCCACAAAGAAACTCCTTCTGATATCAAATGAATGATAGCTAATTGTCTGACTATGATTTCTTTCATTTACATATTATTCCCTCTATTCCATATTCCTAATTCATTATGCATTCAATTACGTTCAACTGATATATTTCTTTATTATGACTGTCTACATATCTATTAATCAAACTACCTACATGTCTATACATTTATCTGTCAATCTGTCTATCCTGTTTATTCTGTTATGATGATGAAGATTAGTGTCTTACTTTTGAGTAAAATAAAGAATATAGATTGAGGTAGAATTTCTGTTTTCCTATTAAATGCCTCAAAGTTTTTTTTCTTTTAAATACTTCAATTGATTCATTAATGTTTATGAATGAAACAGACTGAAAATTTTAGAGACTGATCACTTGATTGTCTATTTTCTTAAATAAATGCAAAGAAAACAGAAAGTTCTTTGATTAATATCTTTACAAAAGTAAATAAAAATAGAATGAATTTTGGTATCAAAATTAACTATTATGTAATATTGACTTAGTGATGGCTTTTTAGTGGCCCATTATCTGATTACAATTGGATTGTATGAATGTTATTGAAATATACACATTGTCTATCCTCGTATAAATTTATCGACTTAATCCGCTTTAGTGTATCATGGAATTTAAGAAGTCAAATACGAGAATGGATTTTCGAATGCATATATTTTGTACATTCATTGATTTGGGCAGGCGATCAGAGGGACAAAGCGAAGAGAAGAGAATGAAGTGAAATGATGAACGGTGGAGAAGATGTGTGAGCTAACCCCACTTAATCAAGTGGTAATCAATAGTTATAGTCACACAAAAATAAGCTACAAACATGTGATGAGTAGGATAAGAAGTGTACACACATACGCTCATTGAAAATGGTCAAGGTTAATAAGCGATTATGTGACAAGGCGAAAACGTGACTCAAAAAGAAAAGATAAATTGGACTGTCTAGAACCTAGAATAAGTTATATGGGCTTGACATAGTAACCGACACTACAACTTGATCAATAAATTATTCCATTAGTTAATATTTCAACAAAATGTTTCTATAAATTTAGTTACTTAATAAAAAAAGTTGTTGAGTTGTAATTATCAAATGTATCATCTTGCAATGAATAGTTTGATCTTTTTTGTTTATCTTGTGAACAAAAGATTTTAGTAACATTTAAACTAAAAAGACCTGAAATTTTATAGTTTAATGGAAATCTTTTTAATTTACTTAAATGATACTGAATGACCACTGCTTTACATCACGGAGTTTGAAACATGGGGCATTGGATTATATTTTATGATTATATGTTTGCAACTAGGGCTGTAGGTCCCGGGTTTAGTTGCTCACCAGGCAGCAGGTCCATATTAATCTAGAATTCAAGTTGAAGAATACCTTTAGTTTGTGATAAGAAATTGAAGTTAAAACTATGTAACCGTTCTACTTCACGAACGACTCTTAAAGTGATCTGGTACTCGGATCATATTTTGTCTGATACAGTGATGGTATTCCAAACATAATTTACATAATTTTTTTAAACAAAATCTTACAGAGTTTGTAATAATAAATAAATTAGAAAAACTATGTACATTTTGCGTTGAAGTGTATTCTCTCTGAGGTAAAAGTAAAGGAATATCAAATAGCTGAGACTAGAGAAGATATATTTAAACAATATAATGTTCTTTAGAATCCACTGTATTCTTTCAGATATAGATTGTTGCATATATACTTCATGCATGCTATAGATTATCCAGTTCACTTTAAAAATCACAATTTACATTACTAAATAATGCCTAGTTATAAAATGCCTCAATATGAGAATGATTAACTGGATTGGATGGTTATATCAAACTTGAATGTATTAGCGATGCATTTTTATGTCCCATGTGTTTAATAACTACTCAGATAAAACATGGATTGCTATTATTTTCCATATATTGTTTCTCTTTTTTTTAACAGTTTTCGTAATCTAGTTCCAGGTTTGCCGAGCAAATTCTATTATAAATTAGAACCAAGTTCATTATCGTCATCCTATTCATCATCAGTTCTAAATAAAGATGTTGAATTTCGAAGAAAGCCAAAATTGTATCATGATCATCGACAAATGTTATCCAGTGAAGACTGGTACCATATTCCAAGTGGACAGTTGGATTTAGATGAAAAATTGAATGTTGACTCATTTACTGATCTAAATGCACAATTCTATCCGTAAGTCAAATACAACTATCATGAACAGTAATTATTGTCATAATCAACACTTTCTGGTTATATACACTTGACAATAACTAACATTTTATACACCATATCCTTGACTACGTTGCCATAGATTACTTTTTTGCTAATATCAGATTTCACAAAACTGTTGAATCTTAACGGTCACTAACTAAAAACCTCTAGCATTTTGAAGAGTTTTTTAACTTCAATGTTTATGAAATACACCATTCCTTTTCGGTTGAATAATCCTACATCCTAGAATATTGTATGCAAAATGGACATAACAATCCAATATGACCAACTGAGTTTTGGTTGATTGATTAATCTATCAAAATATTGTTCAGTGTTTAATGCAACAAATTTCTGTATTCTTATCTGATTGTTAACAGTTTAAGCTTATTCAAATGACTATGCTATTCTTAAAAAGACTAGTTAATTTATCAAATAAGATCTAGCTACAGCTACATCAAAACTTTATAAAGCTTATCAATCGAAATTGTTCACATCTAGCACATTATCATAGGCCATAATACTTAATTATGCGAATGAAATATTAAAAAGCTTGTACTGTTATACAATCTAATATCACTGAGTATGAAATTCTAATGGCTTGATTTGTAAATGAATTCAAGGTTTGGGAAAAATCTATTTCAAATAAAATCACATATCAGTTTCAGTGATAACCATTGATATATGAATACAAGTTTAGTATGATTTAGCTTACCGCTAAAGTTTACGGAAATAAAGTTGAGCTTTCAATTTAATCATGATTATACTAGACCAAATCATAAAAAATACTTAAGATTATGATATTTGTATTAACCTAATTTAATCATCATATTGATATAAATGTTAGTTCCTTTGGCATATACACATAGAAATAGGTATTTGTACAACTATATGTTCAATTTTACTTCAAATTCTTCGATATAGCTACTAAAGATAAGAGGTGTATAGAAAAACTAGCTAATTGTTACAGTTATCATAATGTCAGTATAAAATGAATGATTATTATTCTTACTATATGTTAATATCAATGTATGTGTTAGAATATATATGTGAAATATAGTTGAAAATTATAGATTAAATATTGTACAATACATGAATGTGAAATATGCAATCATAGTATAGACTTTATGAACTTATTTTATACATAGAATATAGAAAGGTTATTTGAGGAAAGAGAGAAAGAGAGAATTTACTGCACTTTGGTTATAAAGGTATTTAGATATGCATACACATATGAAGTGCAATTTTCACTCCAATAAAATGCACTTGTTTCAGTTATAGATATAGGTATTTGTAAATTGTGTAGAAATTCGATAACTTCTTAAAAACCCTATAACATACCTTAGATGTTTTTATCTACCGTAAAGTGTGTAATTATATCTAATAAGATATTTATTAAACTATGTTAAAGTTAATGACAAGATGAACAGACAAACTTACACGCACACACACACACACACACACGCAAGCACACATGGTACAACTCACGTAGTGCTACTTTTTCATCTCACCATATTTCTTCACTTGGTTAAAACAAATATGATATTTAGGCTACTTGTTACATTAATTGTAATTTAGTTAGTTTTTAAAAGGAAAGTAAGTAATTATTTATATTCATACATAGTGATAAGCTTATCTGCATTAAAGGTAACCTAATAAATAGTATAAAGTAATGTAAAACTTTGTCTATCCCAAATCTGAAATATATTCCGATTATCTAACAATCAAATAAATGATTGGGTGGTAACAAGAATAACACCAAAAAAAAAGGAAAGATAATTCGGTAATGTAAAAATAAACTTATTTAGCTTATCAATGACATTTTCAGTTTATATCTTCAAAAGGGCATATTGAATATAAACCTGTTTTTAGTAAAATTAAATTCATCCAATGTATAATGTTAGATTATGTTAATCAGTGAACTTAATCGTTAGTTCGAAGAGAATACTTTTAACTAAACATTTTAATTCACCTAGATTTCGATAAGTTTTAGGTAAATGTTGTTATTAGGAATTAGTTTGGTGTTATCAGTATGAATGAAAGATTTCATCAAAAATATAAGGCCATATAAAATAGTTTTTAAGCAAAGATGGATAGTGGCTAGCAAGTACATCCAGCTGACGAGTCCCAAATAAGACGGAACGTGCATCATGGATTCCACTGCTAGCCACTATCCATCTTTGCTTAAAAATCTTGTGACTTAAGTTAATATTGAGGCAATCCGCACAGGATGCACATATGCCAACATGAGACTGATCAATTGTAGTCCTAAATAACAATGGGAAGATACAAATAAAGCAACACCAAGTGAATTCATATAAAATAGTGTTTTTGATGGATCGATGAGCAGTTTATGTTAGTTTCTTTTAGTATTCAGTTATTTAATTTCATCGAACAAGCCTACCCATCATTTTTGTTTAAACAGAATCTAATCATATCTGATCATTTATCGATTTTAGTATTGATGGAAGATGTGTTTGATCAACACCTACTTTCAATATTTAGTCCCTCCCCCCACAAACAAACCGGTTATTTATGTCAAGACGTATTATACTGACGGATAGTTTACAGAGCAACTCAAAGTATTTAGTGTTTGAATACAGACAATGAATTTTATATAGGCTGTTGAACTCTCTTAATTTGGTGGAATTTTATAGCCTGTCAGTTTCCGCACTAATGGCATAGATTAACTTCATCGTGAGACAATTAAAAATAATCGTTTTACAAATAAATCTCTATCAACTGATAAAAAGTTCCTTTTTTTCACATCGTACCCAAACATTAGTTACTTCAATGCTTAAACTTGTAACTTCTTTTAGCGTGTGAGATTATGGATACATGACTTTAAACTTGGTACATTCTGTGAAAGTCCTTGACAAGTCACCAATATTGACATGCTTGACGAAAGAAATGTATTCGCTGGCTATATGGTCGTCAAGTTTTACAAGTGTTCATCTACTGATTAATATTCTGGAAAAACTGTAGACATAAAAGTACACTAGCCAAGATGAAATAAAGGTCGATTTCAAACAATGATACGTACTGTATAAAATGAGACTTCAGCTAGAGTACAAATAATGATATTGTATTATAGTATTATTATTCTTCATATTTGTTTGCTTCAACTGTAGTAATCTACCGTGAATACATAAAACAGGTATCGTATCATTCATGTTTAATCTATTTTAAGTTTCTTCTATGAAGATTGCCAAAACTACAGTGAAAACGATTATTTTAACCATGTTTGTACGTTTGTTATGAATATGTTTACAGCCTGATGACATTTTGATATTCAAAATAGATTAGAAAAGTTAAGATTATTCGAGCTACTGTTTCTTTGTTTAAACTAATAAGAACCATAAATGTCAATGTTTATAGAAGTATATATGTGAATCAAATAGTTCGCAATTTTTACTGTTAGTCTCTCTACGTCCTAGTAACCAGTGAAGTCTATTGAACAAGTTTGACGTGCATTACTCTCCAGTGATCAATTTTCACACGTTTCCATAAATTAAGAACACAAATTCATTATAAATTGATGTATAGTGATAGACTTCGTCTGCAGAACTGTTCTCAACCAACACTTATTATTTCTTATGAATGTTATATTTTTAAAATAAAGAAACTGTAACTTTCAATGAAATTGAGTCGTATTTATTAAAAACAATTTTATCAAGACATAATAACTAAAAGGATAACGTGGTATTGTTTGAAGCAAATGGTATCGTTTTTAAGTCCTGGTGTGAACATCAACTATGTGATACAGGTACATTCAGCTAGCGAGCTGACGCGTGTCCTGAATTTCACTTCTAGCCAACATCCATCTATGTTTATAATGCTTGTGACTTAAGGCAATATCGAGGCAATCAGTACAGAATGCACTTGTATTAATCAGAGACTAATCAATTATAGTCCTAAACATCAATGAGAAGTTTCAAACAAACAATATAAAATGAATTTAATTCTCACAAATGTTCCAATATATTCGACCAGTGGTGAGAAAGGAAAGACTTTTATTACATCGTCAATATTTACCAAAATAATACAATTATTTATTTCAAAAAGGAGTTAAAATCAATGTCATATGCTCTTTTATGAAGTTATACGTAAGCGAACTGCTTGAGTGAATAATTTAATTTGCATAAGTCTGTTCACATAAAGTGAATAGTAAAATGTATGTTTGTTCAAATATGTGGCAGTTGGAGTGTAAGGCATTCATTTATAATCAGGTTATTACTGACTAAAAGTATCCTCAATATAATAACTGGTAATTTTTTGTATCTTATGATTGAATATACGTTTCTGGGCCAAGGAAACAGAATCGTATTTTTTTTAGACTTTGAAATAATGTACTCTTAGATGATATAAACTTATTCCTTAGAAACATCTCTTTTTGAACACGTTTTGTCAATCTGAACGTGAAACTGAAGGCCCTGGGTTCGAATCCCGAGAGTGGGATCATGGATGCCCACTGGGACGAAATGGCCTTCCAGTGCTTCCAGGTTTTCAATGGTGGTCTAACATCAATTGGTTCGTGATCTCAATCAAAAACTTATTGATCTTCACAACCTCTATACTGAACTTATAAACTAAATGAATGTTTCTTTTCATCTTTACGATTGTTCTTATTGTATGTTGTTTAATGATTCTTTGTAATATTCCCATTTGATATCATTGAAAATTAAAATATCATGAAGTGATTATGATGTTTACTGCCTTAGACGTTTGGCTCTATAGTAATTCTCATAAAGTTATAACTTTACCCTAATTTAATATTTCTCCCTTTCTCGAAAGGTTTGCAACAACTGTTACGAAACGAAATGGAAATCCTTCAACAATTGATTCAAATTCTTATTTTTTAACATTGACACAAGTTCGATTATTGTTATTGTTATTAGATGCCATTATTATATTGTCTAGATGTTTTCAAACATTTGAATTTATGCATAATATTTGGTTTGGTGATATAAAATTAATTAATGCCAATCATTTAATTCATGATCTAAATGATAATTCACAAATAATGATTGATTCATTTGATCATTCTATGCATCATCATTCACAACAAACACAACAAATACATAGTACTTATAATTCAAATTATCATTATCAACCTCAACTTCAAATAAGATCACCTAGACATATACAATTATCTATAGGATCTACACCATTCTTACATCCTGCATCATGCTCATCAAATTTACATGAATCAAATCATCATTCAATCTCTAATGTATGTTGTACTTTTGATTGGTAGAATTAATTCAGTTTAGTTTTGTTTAGATGTTGTTTTTACAAATGTAATAAGTAATGTATTCAGTAAGAAATATAAGTACAATATGGGTGAACTTTGTATTTGTGGTTTATTTAAATACTTACCATTACTATTAGTTGGACTGGGAGTAATTTATATACTTTAGTAATAAAATAATATTTGAGGAAAAATGGTTACTATATGAGAACTTTCGGACATAGAAAACAATAATCTTGATAAAAATACATGCATTTGAAGATTAATACTTTTTACCGCTATGTAGAACCACACTTGAACACATTCTCGTATCTTAGTTGAAACCAAGCACTCGTTACGAAATATGCATCACACTCTATAAGACCGCATGAACCGGTAGACCGGACAAGGCAGCTTATCTTTTAAAAAGGCTCCGTCGCATAGAAAGTTCTTTTTATAGTCGTTGGCAGTAGATTTTTATATACATCAGAATTTTGGTCACTCCAAAATTCTAGATTCATTAAAACATGTCTTTGATTTGGAATTTCGAGATTCCTTGTCCGGACTTCTTTTCATTTTTTCCTTTACCAAGTGGCTTGCATAACCATTTTCAACGAACATTTTTCTGAGGAATCCAAGTTCTTCATAAATTGATTCAGTACTACAGATCTTTTTTGTCAGAAGCACATTCAGAAGTGAGATAGAGACCCACTTTATTTTCTAACCTGAAACCTATGGAACGATAGTATGTATTGAAAAAAAAGAAGCAAGATGCCAACCAATTCAACATTCTCCTCACATGTGACAAATGTGTCAACCCCATAACTTGTGAATAAGCTCACTTCAATGCTGACTGAAACAAGTTGGTTGTTTTCGAGTTTATATATGAGACGGTCAGATAGGATTAGGCCCAATCGAAACCCCAACGCGATAACACTCTTTCAAGCGGTCAGTTGATAGGTTTGCATCCATGCTGTTAAAATCAATATAGTCACATAAGTAGCACATAGTTTCAGTTAATGTCATGCTGGTGAATACCGAACTAGGGTAAAGTTACACATTTGAACAAAATGACTCTGGTAAGACTCAATTATCCCGATATTTGTTTTACTACATACATGTTGAAGTTTCCATTGAGACAATGCAACAGATTATTTTTACATTGTTCTCAACACTAACTAATCAAATGTTTCTGCTGCTTCCATAATACACTAATGAAGAATATATTCAGCAATTTCAAAACTAGTGAAAAAGCCTAATCTAAACTACCGTAGTTTTCATTTCTGAAGTCTTCACATCAAAGGAACTGATCTACTTTCACTCGTCCCCAGAACTAATTCATTTTCAAAATTATGACAAGTTTATTCCTATGATTGTTTGAAACGTGACTTCATTCAAAACATACTAAGCGGTACATGTGTATTTTCCCTTTTGTTTAATTATAGGAGTTCCCCGCATCAATAGGCACAAATCACAATGAAGCAGTGATTGTCAACCAACCTATTCGTGTAAGTGAATATGAAAGAAAATCTTCTACAGGGATTAAAATAACTCAAAACAATCCACCAACACTGAATTTTGATAATGGAACTGGACGTTTTACAGCTTGCTACTGTTGTCTTGATGCTCATTATTTGCTAGTGATAACTGGTATTGGCTTATTATTTATTGGACTAGTTTTAATTTGGGCTACTGATAGACATGTTCGACCAGGATGGCTTTTAGCAAAGTGAGTTGCATTATTTCAATCTTTGTTAAACACTTATCTTTTAAAAAACGAATTTACTGATTTGTAGAAGTTTAAATATGTTCAATATATATAAACGAAAATAATTGCTGCACAATTGTTTCAATTATGGATCATAAGTATGGTTGGCATTAACTCAGAACGAAGATTCCTCTTCATCATTTTCCCACCAGTGTGTTTACTACTAACAACCTATTAGAAATTTTCAGGTAGTCGATAGTATTAAAGGATTAGATAACTCTGATGTCGGTCCCCAAACAGTGATCGATCAATTGTAAACCAACAACAAAAATTCACCACGAAACTTATGTTTATTTCATCTTTATTCTCCTTCTTCCTACACTATCTAATTTAGCTATTTTGATAAATCTTATTGGCATAATTATTATCTTGCAGATCAAACAGGTAGTTTAATGTGAAAATAAGATTTCACATACAAAGTTTCCTGTATCATCATGAAGAGATTAAGAACGAAAATTTGAGCAGAATAACATGAATTCATTTTACTTCGTTTGGTTCTCGTCGGCAGCCCACAAATTGTGATATTTACAAATCATAATTACAAAATACGTTGAGATTACTTAAGTCAAAGAGTTTAGTTGGAAGTTAATTTGAAGGCACATCAGTACAGTACAGTGAGGGCGTAAATAAATTCAATAAAGTGAAAAAATATAAATATACACCTTATCTAAAAGAATATTCTACAACACTGATAGTAACAAAAGTTTAAAGGGCTAGAAACAGGTGGTTACGTAATGTGTAAACTCTGATAATAATTAAGGAAAAGATGAGTCAAGTTCAGTTAATTAAAATAAGATTACTAACCTAGAAGAGAGTCGAAGTGAAAAGATGTAATGATGTAATTAATTGAAAGAACGGGTTGAACAAATCTTTTATTATGTAATGAAGGAATATTTGTCATCATGGCAAAGAAAGGCTAACAACTATCTTCTTCTGAACATATCAATCAAGGTTCAGACGCTCGATAATAGTGCCTTCAGCAGAAGATTTGAAGATATCGACGTGATGTCCTGTATTCAAGATATGTTTGGTAGTTGCTCTGTTTAAAGTAATTCTTTCTCTAAATCGAAGGCTTTTTGGAACATATTCAAAAAACTCGGATATTCCCACTTTTCCTTTCGGTCAATGTAGCTGCTGTGGGAGTTTCATGTAAATTTATAGATACAGTTGTCGGTAATATAAAGGTTTGCTTGTAGATAAGTAATAGTTCTTTGAGTTCTGACACTAGTAAAGGTAAGAGATTACAATCCTGATAAATTATATCAATGGTTTCAAGAAGTAGTATTTTAGTGAACCAATATGTTACATTATGAGAAACCATGGGCATGCCAGCAACATTCAGCAAATTGGGTTGAATCTCTCAATGTATATGCTACCAATCTCTGTTGGACTAGTTCTGGCTTATCAGCTTGTCAGCATTCAACTTTATGATACAGTGAACTGATCACTGACCGAATAGCTCTAAGAGGTATATCATTTTTTTGAATCTTCGGTAGGTCGTACACATTCATACATAAGAGACAGCCATGAGTGGCGAGATCTTAGACCATTGTAAATAGAATTGACAAACATTTTCTTTTTTAGAAGTTCTCTAATCATGCCTATTATTCTTTTTTCTGACGAGTCAGTTAAATCTTTATTGGATTTTTCTACCTTAAATCTCAGTTTATAGTCTAGGATCAACTTGATCTGAGTAATATTAACAGTTGTGTTCATTAGAAAAACACTTGAACCTTTATCTGGTCGTGATTATGTTTAATGTTTCTTAGAGCTGTCAGATGTTCTTCGGATAGAATTTTCGACTTTGATGTCGAGGAAACAAAATATTGGTTGGCAATATTAACTAACTTCGGTTTGAACTAGAACATTTTCATCCTTATTCATTGGATGTAAATTTTTTATCTAGTCAAATGAATTTTCGAACGGAGTCCTTGTATTAATCTTATATGAACTTGTTTTTGTCATGTGAAATTTTAGTCATAGTAATAAGGCTTCTGTCTCTATATTATTAAGCTTCATAGTTGATAAGTTATAAATAAACTTCAAAGGGTTTTCTGAGAACCCTGCATATAGTTGTTCTGTTATCAGAATTCTCGATAGAGATTTATGGAAAATCTTCAAAAACTTGATTTAAAGGTTATGGACAACCTTGATAAATTTTATCCGACATACGATTTTTACGTCATTAAACACTTTATCTAAAGCACTGGGCTCACCTTTCAATTAAATAATAAGTAAATTCGTTCATCCAATATGAGATTTTGTGATACATTGGAAAATTTCAAGCGAAGGCGGTAGTTTTGTAATTTTCAAATATCATAGGTCTTAATCAGTTGAAGATTACCAAATAAAATAAAATGAATTCGTATCATTCTGTTCAAATATTTTTCTTACTCTCTTCAAATCAGGGTTTTCTTGAAAATCAACTTAACATGCCTTAAGACATGTCTTCATTGGATTAGAATACAAATAAATCTTATTATATGTTCGAGTTCATCAGGTTTGACAATATCTAATTTACTACACAACCTTCATAAATCTTATCTTTTAGTAATGAGAAATTTATAGTTTGCATGTCACTTAACCATATGTAAACTTGTAAGATAGAGTTTAATTTGAATGAATAAGATTAAGTGGTTTAGAAATAAGAGGTGTCTATTTTTAAAATGTACTTATCAATGAAGAGTGGACTCACTTCATGCTGTTGTTAGTCCAGTGTTTGGATATTCATAATGTGTAAGATGATTACATAATAGTAATAATAATAATAATCTACATCTCAGTCCTACAGGAGGTCAGTCACGGCTCGGATAGCTCAGTGGTAACGTCTCTGACTGTGAAGCTGGGTGACACGAGATCAAATCCGCCAGGGAGCAACAGTTCCCTCAAGATTACAGGTACACCTTGCTGACGAGTACCAAGTAGCACGAAACCCGGGTCCAGGGTTTCCTGTTGACTACCTCCAACCACCATCTAAATAATCTAGAATTCGATACATTTCATGTTAATTTATGATTTCAAAGTAAGAACTTTTCTTAAAAGGTAAAATTCAGTCTTGTGGTTTAATCATTTGCCCCACTACAATGGATTAAAAAAGTTATTAATAGAGAAAGTATAAGCCTAACATTCATGTAAGAGATTTTACAGTATCTTAGTTAATTCATTCATAAAAAATATATTATTGACATTCGGCAAGTTTGACTTACTTTATTCCGATATACCGATTTGATGTAGACCTTCACAAATATAAAATCTTTTTTTTCAACTTAATATCAAACTAAGTATCATTTATCTTTGTTACCTTCGTAACAATTTTAAAAAAGTTTGCTTTTATATTGTTTACATTAGATGAATATTTAGTGTATTTATATTGTCTTATGTATTTTATTGATCACAAAACAACCCTTAGTTCATGATACTCATTAAAAACAGTAAATGAACACATACATAAAATTTATAAACAATTTTAATGGTTAAGATCATGAGTTAATTGAAACTAAACCATCATGAAAAACCTGGAAGGACCGAACGACCGTTTCGTCATATTGTGGGACTCCTCAGGAGTTCACATCCACGATCCCGCCTTGCAACATTCGAACCCATGACATATCAGTCTCGCGCGCAAACGTTTACCATCTAGACCACTAAGCAGGCATCCAACACTGTTAATATCTAACTTTAACTAATCCACGAAATTGAGCGACACATCCACCATTGTCATCAGTGAGTTATTTTCTCACAACAGACCCGGTTGAATTCCACTGTTCACTGCTTCTCACTAGAACTCCAGGAAATACCTCTTGAAGTCAGTCAATAGTGAGCATATGTTGATTAATATTAAAAGGGTTTTGTGGTGGTCTAGCTCCAACTGGCTCATGATCTTAACTATTAAAATTCCTATAATATCCTCAAAACCCCTTCTCATAATATATAATTTACTTAGCAGAAAAGATATACACAGAATTATTAAGTACATGTAATATAATGATAGTAAAACAAACAAACGAAATCCAAATCAAACTCTGAAATAATATTAAATGGATTAGAAAATGATGTAGGTTTGTCAAAAAACAAATTTAAAACTGAAACCTATGAGAAAAAGAACTAATACTGTAATCTTAATGAAGTTTTGTTCTTTGAACTGGATAGTTTACTTTTAAAGGTTTCATTGTTCTTCTGAATGACATCATCTACTTGAACTACAAATCTTCTTCATTATCTCAATTAAGAACAATTTCGTAATAAATAGATGAGTGAAAAGAAATGAAAAAAAAACGGCAACTAAATAAAATAAATAGAATAAGATGAAACATAGTAATACTAGAGAATAAGTAAATAGAACAATGAAATAGAATGTAAATTAGGTTATTTTGATAAATCAACATTGTGTTCAACCAAAGAAAAGGAGATATTTGATTTATTTAAGCAAGATTAACTTTCAAACTTTTTCTTTCATTTTGGCTATTGATAAAAGAGAATTATGATTAACAATAAATAAGTATAAACTAATAGCTTTATGCTTGGGAATATGTTAATTAACAAATTAGAAGAATCATCTGAATGTCAGTTAAAAATCTAGAGAAAAAGAAACTATTCAATAACAAGATTAAAGATATAAATATGAATACTTGGTGAAACTATCATTTATGGACGACCTTTGAGTGATACTAAAGTGACTTTGAAAGTGTTCACCCACAAACTAGGACTGAATGAGGGTTATAAACCAGTGTGAGGAATTATAATTATAATTTACAATTGATAGTTGAGATTAGGACTTAGATTTAGGATTTTAATCACGAACTGACATCAGCTATAATGCCAAAACTCTATTTAGCCAAATTGATGAGTGAATTTCGCGCCAAAATCCGAGACGTGCTATCTTATATCTAATTGGTTAATCCATAAATGATAGTCTCGCCGAATACTTTCGGTATCTCCGAAATTATTAAATAAATAGGAAA